CCATTTTGAAACCCTACACTAATAAAGTCATTAGATGCTGCCCTTGCCATGAGCCTCCTAAAAGCTTCTGAAGTTACAAGAACACCCGGCATTGTTCCCTGGGACAATTGCTGCTGGCAGAATGCAAACCTTGAGTTAAACCATGCTGCAAATTGATCTTGACATTCTGTTAAGACCGCCACTAAAATCAAAAGCAAAGGAGAAAAGGAGAAAATGAGCGGGTGGGATGTAATCATGGAACAGAAGGGTTCCCTCCTCACCTTCTTTCCTCTTCCTCCCCAAAACAAGCCATACAGAATACGACAAAATCTCCTGGTGGTTGAGAACCTTTATTTTTAAAACATTAATTAGACTTTTGACCTGTTTTTATTGACTGGCACTGTACTGCCATTAAAGTAACTGAAGCAAAATACTGCAAAACACAACAGATACGATTTTCACACTTTCCCGTTGAACCCTATTAAGGATTTAAGGCCCAAAGAACAAGCCCAACAGTTTTGCAAGCAACATATGCAGAATGTATAGTTGTTCCTTAAGAAGCAGCCACAAATTAACACTCATTGGGCCCAGCACACACAGACCCCACACCTGCAGCAGAGCTGCTAGAGGATCAAACAGGACTGGGGAGCTAGAGCAATATGGTCAAGTGGTCTTCATCCAGGCATGCAGCATTCAGTAGGTTAGTATTAGGGGTCAGCAACTGTGAATATGGCTAATTACTTGATGATGGAAATTGCAGGTGAAGACAACCTGCTGCTGAGAAGCGCTTTAGTCAATTAACTCTTTCCTAAGATTAAGCAAAGTGAAAAACTATCATTTGAACATTAAAACTAACAAGTACCTGTCATCAAAGCTGAGGCAGTCCCTTGAAATATAGCACCCGAGGGCAAAGAGGGCAGCAAAAGCAAAACACCCGCTACAGACTCTCTAGTCATCTTTTATCAATTTGGTAGTGCTTTGCTTCGCGAACATTATATACACTGGAAGTCTGTTAATATGATGTGTCATGTGTGTGATGTGTAATGTATAAACTGAAGAGCATGTGTGCACATGTATGTAGGTATATATACATATATATGCATATATGCACATATATGTATCTATGTCAGTCATGCATATAAATATACAACCTACTTAATTCATTACTTGTGTATTAAATAAATTATTTAAAATGCTTGTGTATATATACACCAGAAGAGCAGCATTTAGGCAAGCTATCTGATGTGAGAAGATGCCAGAACTGCAGGTGCTCGTGCCTGGCCTTCCGGCCCATCCGCCCCGTCACCTCCCTGGAATCACGAGGACGCTCTCGACCCGCGGTGCGGCCCTAAGCCCGCGCTCAGGCCAAGCAGCAGGGCCAGGACTGGCAGCACTGCCCAACCTAACCCAACCTCTGCTGCGCGACCCATGAGCCAGTGAGCCCATTCCCCCTTGGGGTTATGATTCACTCCAAACTGGCTGGATTAAACAAGAAAGTAAAAGCTACATGTGTATTTCACTGCAAGAAAACCAGTGCTGCAGGCGCACACACACACTCACACCCCCTTCCAGAGACACCAAACCCACCCCGAGAGCCCTCACCTGCACTAATGTCACCCGAAGGCTCTGCCACGTCACCGTGAGGCGCCGGTCCCTACCATGAACCACACACACCAGCAGCAGGACGCCCTGCCAAGGACCCTGCCGGGACGGCAGCAGCCTGCGATGCCCTCCCTTCGCTTCCCAGTCATGGCAAACTATCATGTAGATCTTCCCTAGCAGCATTATAAAAAGCACAAGTTATATTTTCCTAAATGAAGGCTACCTATTTGATAATATTATTTTGTGACTTTTACTCTGATTCTTTTATTCTAGCAATGAAACCCACATTACTTGAAGCACTTACCCAAAATAACTGCTCCCTTCCTTGCTACCCTTATGCCAGAGGTGATTAAAAGCTGTGAACGGCAAAACATCCCCTTAACTGTAATAACTTTTCTGCAGATTGACCAAGTAACAGTCCTGGGTGTCTGCTGCCAGATTTTTCTTAACTCCCAAAGCTGTAAGTCTTATGCCCTTGCACTGCTGCTAGCAGCCACCGAACGCCTGCGCATTTTATGTGTTTTATGGCAAAGGGTGTTGAAAAATAAGATTGGGAGAGTCCAGTTGAACAGCGCAGGATACAGGATTCAATGCATGCCCTACACTGATGTCAGCCAAAAAAGATTAACAGCCAGGAGAAACAGTCGTGATTTTGGAGGTGTTTCTGTTGAAGCCCCTGGTACACCAGGGTTTGGGACTAACCAACGTACATTGCAGTGTCTGTTACACTACCATGGTGCTACACTACTAATGATGTAAGTGGGAGTCAGCGCATGCTGTTAGCCAAGAAAGGTGCAATGAAAGCAACATGCTCAGCCTGGGCAAAAAGTGTCCTTCCTGCTGCCCTCATAGCGCAGCTGCCGTCAGCAGCCTTGGCCATTGGCACTGCCAGGCCTTGCAGAAGGTCCCAAATGTCACCATTGGGTCAGGAGGGGGACAATGAAGAGCAAGAAGAAACTCAGAATATCCCAAAGCTTTTTGTCAACGTGAGCGAGGGCTTGTATTGATTTGAAATCTTCACGTCATGCTAAAGTACTGAAAATCTGCCTCTGACCCCCCCGTCAAGGGATCCTTGTCAATTACTGTAAATAAATTAAGCTCTTCTGCCTTTTCCTATTCCTATTTCCTGTTCCTGTCTTCCCTCGTAGCACACATTGCTCTTGGCTTACCCAAGCACGCCAAAAAGCAGACCTGGCCGTTGTTATCTTCTCACCATTTGAATAAAATAAAGAACAATAACCCAAACACACGGGTGTTTGCAGGGATGCGCAAGGGCGCCGGCTCCGGGAGCGCTGTCACTTTGTCACCCAGGGAAGCGCAGCGACGGCACCGCGGGACTGAGCACTCATTTACGGGAATGCCGCACGCACCGGCGCTTCCCGCGGAGGGAAGGACGCCCCGGAGAACCCGCAGCCTAAGGAGCGGGATGTGACACCGAACACGAACCAGGGGCTGCTCTCACCGGAGCCAGCGCGGCTTGTTTACCCCTCACTATTTTTTGACCTCACTGTTAACATGACAGTGCCTGTTGTTGGTGAGAGGAAAAGGAAAAAATAATAAGGCTTAAAAACCCTATCACAGCGCACAATCATGGCCTAGATGCATTGAGGGGAGCTATAAAGCCTTAAACAAGCCCTTTATTTTGTGTTTTAAAAAGTGTCATAAGGAGTTAATAGGACACAGCTGTACGGGCTCTTTCTAACGAGCAGCTTCTGTCGCTTTGGTCACCACAGGTGTCTCTCGAACCTGCAAACTCTTATTACTAGTGTATCAAAGTTGTGCTACTTAATAGATTTCTTTAGTAAAACACAACAAAGCAATTACATGGCTGTTGATCGTCAGTCATAAAAAAAAAAAAGGCAAAAAAAAAAAAAGCCCTCAAAACTCAGGTTTTCAAAAGAAACTACACTGCAATTTTTTGTCATTGTAAAATAAAGGAAACCAGGGAATGAAAAAGCAGCAAGGACAATGGAACAGCAGGTCGCCGGCCCCGCCAGGCCACTACAGATGGTTTGGAAAGAGCGTTTCCTTCTACACCACGTTGGGGGATGAAAGGGAAGGAGGAGGCTCCGTCCTGCCCGTGAATGGCAACGCCAAAAGACTTAAGCGACTTTCCAGTCCGTATTTGGTCCCATGAAAGAGCAGAGATGTTTCTTTTCCTCTCTTACTTTTCTTTTTAATATACTTTTTATTTTCCTTTTAAAGCTTTTTTTAAATCTGTTTTTGCCATTTTCCCCATCGTATTTTAACAGTGCCTTAATAAACAGAGAGTAATTAAAAGGAGGAACACGACTGCTGATTCACACAAGGACAAGATGCAGAAGGTCAAGCTAGGAATTCCTGGGAACTCACAACATGGCATTTTAAAAGTATATTACCAAGCGAAGACATTGCTCTGGTCTCCTTTACCCACTCTCTTTAAAGAAATATTTATAATAATTACGTATTTAAAAACACAAACACATGAACACTCTATAAAGAAATCCAATTTCTAGCAAGCCATAGACAAAAGGAGCACATATCTACATTTTCAGTCATTCAGAAATCAATGGAGTTATGTAAAAAATGGGAACCTTCTTCCAGACCAAATAACTGCAGCTACTTTTGTTAAAAATTTAGAATAATTTTTATAGTTATGTACCCAAAACACCACCCTGGCAAGCAGCAGTCTTCTCTACAAATGATGAAGTCTAAGTTAAAACCAAACAAGATCTGCTTTCTAAACACAATTGTTACTTTAAAGTAGATTATGAACAATTGTTAAATAACTAAAGGAGAGATGTCTTCAAGAAGGAGGAATCTACAGCTTTTGTTTCTTAATTCATCAGTAAAGAGAGACCATCAGATGGTCTCTAAACATGATAGCATTTCTTATTAAAATCTATCAAAATGCCCAACATGGCCAAGGCCTGTAAGAAAATTGGAGAGGTCATAAAACTTCATGGGAATTAACAAATTTTTGGTAAAATCTGTTTTTCATTAGTAAACTAGTTTAAGTTAAATTAATAATTTGGTATTAAATTCTTAAATAATTTTTAAAACCCAGCGACAACCGTAGTTGTTATGTCAAAAGAATACCCAGACATTTCTAATGCAGTTACACCTACATGCATACAGGGTCCTGTAATATTACAGCACCCTATAGCAGAGTGTTGAAGACACAAGAACTGAGAACTATGTTTGCAAAAATAAACTCAAAAAAAGGGGAAAAGAAGGAATAATTGCTTGAACTGTTTTTCCTGCACAGGAATAATGAAAGGGAGCAGGGCCCCGCTCCCAACTGGGGTCAAGCAGCTCAGCTCCACTCATCAGCTGAGGACAAGCACGAAGCTTTTCGATTTAATAAATACTGGGCAACAAAACATCTGCTACACAGAGCCGGCGCGGAGACGAGCTCCGCTCACCCTGTGCTGCGTTACCTTGCTCTGTTGGCTTCTTTTGTCATGTCCCACGCCCAGGTGATGAAGTTCTGGCTCAGGTAGGAGACGATGGACTCGGCGCAGAGCATCTGGGAGCAGAACACGTTGGTCAGGACGCTGTCGTCGTGGTGGAGGTAGATAGCCAGGAGCTTTCTCTGCAAGGACAGGGGGAAACGTGAGCAGGGAAGGCTTCCTTGGGCTGTTTCAGAGCTGAAAATTGCAAATTGGGTGTTAGTACATCCAGTGGGGCTTACACGGTACATCGACCCTCTCAGTGTGCACGCACCAAAGAAGAAAAAAAGCAAAAAAGGTAAGATTTCAAGGGAAAAAGAGTAAGATTTCAAGGCAAAATAGCCCATCCATCTACATCTGTAAAACTCTCTCTCTCATATACATGTATATTTGTTTGTTTTTAATTTGCTGCCCCCAAAAGATAATATTTAGTATTCCTCTGAAACTCTCCTGAAAAAGGAAAATACCTCTTGAAACAACAGCATCCAGGACGCTAAACAAATACACTTATAATCAGCTTAGTGTATTTATTACACGAGCCCATTTATAGGCACATCCAAGAGCAAAGGTGCTAAGTCCCCACAGAAACACCCATGCTCCCCAACAGCGATGACAGGTGCTTGGGCAGCGATTCATCCTGATGCTCTCGTGCACGATGCCCTTCTAAAGGCGACGTTGGTGGCCCCTGGGATCCAGGTACCCTGGGCCTGGTTCTCCTGGAAGTCTGTCACGGAATAGCTAAGGTTTCGCTGCCAGCCACAAACAGCCACGTCGCATCCCCGTGATATTCTCAGGCCACCTGGGGAAAGCGACCCCACGCGAACCGAAAGGTAAAGAACCCACTGAGAAAAACAGAGGGACACTGGGAGCTGGGAGAGGCCGTGTTCTTCGATGAATCATGAACACCATTCAGAAAAGTTAAAAAAGTTACACCTCTCTTCCCGCCTCTGACCCCCCAATACGTCGACTAGAGACAATATCGTAATTTGTGTTTTTAGAATTTTTTAAAAATATATTCATTTCAAATCTGTTCATCCCAAGTAACACCGAAAACTACATACTGATGTGCACTGAAACGGCAAGATATGGAATGCAATTTTGAGATGAGGAGGTTTTTTTTTTAAGGAAAAAAAAAAAAGGAAGGTATGACTATACATTATATACTGGCTTTGGATAAAACTTAATGACTGTTTAAAAAGAAGAGTACACTTGAAGATTAGACTTTGGGAAAGGGATTAGTAATTTGCATTAATGTTTGTCTAATTTAATTTAAATGTTCTTCAGGCCCAAGTACACATGTGCCAGGAGGGGCCATTAATAAGCCTAACATGCAGAGTCCCATATAAGTGCAGCCAACAATGTTGACTGAAACTAAACTTGAAAATCCAGGGCACTAATGCACAATATCAAGCAATAAAACAGCATTTCAGCAGTGATATTTAATTTAAAAAGAAGAAAGAGGCAAGGGAAGATCAGGCACTGTCTGTTTTTGAGGATCAGCCATTCTGCATTTCAAAGCGTCGATCCCTGCAATATCCAGGTTACTGTGCTAGAATCTCGACTATTATATAGCAGTTGTAAGAGAGGGAGGGCAAAGATGTGTTTACTCAGTGATTAGGGCCTTAGAATAAGCCTCTAGCTCCTAGAGAGACAGCTCACCACTTATTCATTTGGACCAATTCACAAAGCCTAGAAAGATTAAACATCCATGCTGAGAAGACAAGCGAATGCAGACGGTGAAAAAGAAATAAAAATTCTTTAAAAACTCTGAGATGACTTCATTATTTTTTCCACAAGGAAACTTTAGGAAAGTGTTTAGTTAGAGAAAAACCCACATTGACCTCTCTCTAAACCCTTAATCTTTCCTTTGTGGTGGCCCTGCTTTGTGGTAAGCGGATGGCTTTGCTCTCCTCTTTTCACTGGGAGAGGGTAGAAAAAAAGGCTCTTGAGAAACACTTTTAGTTCCAAAGAAACAACCCCATGAAACTGTTAAATATGAGATTCCATACAAGTGAATGTTTCAAAATATGTACAGTTTTCAGCTTAAAGGTTTAGGGACAAATTTTCGTCAACAAAACAGGCACACAAACAATGGCTGTTTGCACTGGAGCTGCCTTATAAGTGAATGTCGCTTTTTTGTTGCATCAACAAATCACGGCATGCACAGACTAAACTCGGTCATATGCAACAGACTGTACCTGGAGCTGATAATTTGTCCAAACTGTTAAGGTCAGGCTTAGGCATCCTGCTAGGACAAAAGTAAAAAGCTTAACAAACAAACAAAGGAAAACTACGAAGGACAGAAGCCGAAACATATGATTGACAAAAATCTTAACAGAAGTCACAAGTATTTTCTTGCTTGGAAAAAATGTATTATTGTAAAAGAGTCAGAGCTTGGAGTTTTGTTCTGTTTTTTACTAACCTAACCTATAACAGTATATATTTACAAAAAGGGTGTTTTCTAGCTGTTATTTCAAGGACTTTGAAAAATCCAGAGAAAACTAACTGACTAACTAACTAACACTGGGAATTTTTCTAACTAATACTAATAAAGTAGCCCTACCAAAATGTTGAACTATACTGACTTCCAGAGAAGAAGCCTAATAATGGAACTGCTGTATTTTTCATGTTTTCAAAAATGTATCGGAGGGTAAGGAGATAGGAAATGTACTTAGCTTAACATTTTAATGAAGAAAAAAAGCCCAGTGGAGAACAACTTAGGATAGTATGACACACTGAAAAGGTCCCAAGTGCTGAATACCTTTAGGACTTGCACAGGCATTCACACACTTAAACCACTGAGAAATGCATTTTTCAGAACATTTTAGGGATTAAGAGCGGGTCCAGATCGTATACTGGGATTTTCCAAGTAACCTGGACATCGGGGTCTGGGTCTACAAATGCAGTCAGGAGTCAAAGTCTCATCAATGTCAACGAGTCTTCAGATACTGCTTTAACTCTAAGCTCTAGGTTTCGCTGATCTCAAAGGAACAACGGCCACCTGAGAGTGGCACTAGCTACTCTTCAGCAGCTTAGCTATCTAAATACCTTCCAAAATCTCTCCCTCGAATATATTTTTTTAAAATCTCTGTTTCAACGAGACTGTGGAGTCTCACGGGCTGCTTTGTTGCTGCTCCGGGGATGGCGACAGCACCCGGCACCCGGCAGGGCCTGCGGGACGGCGAAGGCAGCACTCACACTGCCCGCCCCGCACGCGAGATCTCTGCTAGGCCCCAAAGCGACTGAGCCACCAACTCGGCTATTTTTGCGTTAGCTGGTGCTCCAGAAAAACAGATGCATTTTGTACGGAAATAGAAGATAAGAAGGAAAAGTTTCTACTGAGGAAGTTGTTTCTTTAAACACGGCTCGTAATGAGACGGAGAGACCAAGCTCTTAGTCCCTGACCAAGCAATAGGATATCCAAGCTTCTCAGCCAGTTCCTAATAAAATGAGTAACTTACTGACGCCTAAAAATATGAGTGGAAAGAGAACAGCAATGCAGTCACAAGGGTGAGCAAAAGCACAGTTATTTCTAAATCTCAGGCTTATGAGTTCAAGAGGGATTGAGACAAAATCATTCACTATGTAACATCTGCCAGAGGCAGGAATATTCTTTCAAGTTGGTAAACTAATGAATCAAGATCTTCCTTTTTCCTCCTGGTTTTATGTAGTGAGAGCTCATTTAAATGAACAAAGGGACACGTTTTCACATCTTTAAGCCTTTGAAGGGAACGATCTGATCCACCTTTCTAAGGTAATCCTGGAGATCCTATGATCAGTCACCTTGGACACAGCTATTCCAACACCCGCAATCTTTTCTTCCTACGCAGACTGTAACCCATCTCTACACCATGGTGCTATACCTCTAAATTTACTCCACTTTGAAAAAGGATCAAAGCAGGATCTCTGATATAGGAAATTCTAAATTTTTTAGAAACCTTTAGTACTGAAATTAAAATATACAATAAATTACAGTGAAGTATAAAATCACAGTAGAAGAGCACTCCTATCGGTCCTTTTCGTAATGAGAATATCAAAGCCCTTAACAAAAATTTCTCTACCCATAAATGTAACACTGCTGGCTCCCATTATTTTTGTTCAACACAGTAATCATCAAAAATTGCTAGGATAAATTTCAATATTTAGGGTAGAAATCTAGTGATTTTTATTTGAAGTGATTTTTATTAGACCACCTACATAAACTTTCACTATAGAATTTTAAGTACAGAAAACACTGAAGAGAAAACCAGAGCCAGGACTATGTAGATATGATGGATTAAGCTGAATAAAGGGTTCGTAGTCACACGAGACAACCAAAATTCTAAATGGTTATGATCCAAGAGGTCAGAATTAAGAAAGAAAGGACAAAATCTGCAAGAATATCATCAATTCCACATTTGCTTGACAGAATCTGCCCCCCAAATCTGTGACTTCCCAAGACTTTGTGCCCATCAGTAATTATAAATTGGTCTGGAACAACATCCATTTGCCAAACTTATTATACTTGACAGAAACAGAAAGTTTCCTGGGCTCCCATGCAACAGCATCTAGGGCTCCTAAAGCACAAGATAGAGAGCATCCCTCAAACTGCCTTTCTGTCCATTAACTTCCTGGAAACATATGCAACATAACTCAAGTGATACTCAACGCAGGCTCTTCCCAGATCCCAGCACATAAGAGCAGGTGATGCAATGCCCAATGCTGGCGAGGACCTAGCCCATAGCTTACCACTAAAATCAGTTACAGACAAAAAGACTGTAGAGTACTCAACACTGCTTCTATAATCTGTGCCAGCACAAATGTGCATAATTATATTTCTGTGAATCTCTTTTCAGTATTAAGTTCATTACCTGAAATAATAGTGAGGGAAAGTTTTATAAATAATGCAGATAAAAATGATGAGTTAAGAAGTTCTGCATGAAGAAATATTCTGCTGCTGCATGCAAAAAAATCAGCAAACCATTGGGTAAGAAACAAGAAAAAGGTTTATTTGAACATGCCGAGAAGTATTCTTCCTTCTAGATATTCACGAAATAAAGTACCCATATGTGACAGGAATAGTTCTGCTGATAAACTGAATCTAAAAAAAATTGAATTGGAAGAGAAGAAAAACGTGGTTTATTTTCAGTATTAGGAATATATGTTGAGGGGACAATACCAACCTGTGCTATGGGAGATGTTGCACATATTAAAAATCAGTGAACAGAAAGGCTGAAAGAAGAAGCAGAAGTTGACCTGGGAAAGTAATATAAAATAAGAGCTACTGAAAAGGTAAAGCAGATTTTTTTAACGTTGCTCAAAACAGAAGAGGAGCAATCACCTATAATAACGAGAAGGTGAACAAACTCTAGTAAAAGAAAATACTTTAGTATTAATTGAGTAAACAGCTGCAATAGATTCAAAGCAGAGATTAGGTACCAGGATTACAATAATATCAATCTAGGCTAGTTTAAAATTCCTATATTTCAAAACACAACACACAAGAAAACTGCTTTCAGCTGCAAAGAAGCCTCCCTCAAAAATCTCAGGAAAAACTGTCCATTCTTCCATTTCTCCCATGGCATCTGGTCTGGCTATTTTCACAATAGCACAGCTACTTGAGCCAGTTCGTGCTTCACAAGCTGCCATGTCAAAGAATTTTAGCACAATAAGTAAAGGCTGAGTTTCCCAAAGGGAGATTTTTTTATTTGAATGTCTCCTTATGCATTTATTTATTTTCAAGTTCAGAGATAAACAGCTTTTAAGGTAATGCTATCTTTGACCTCATTCCATTTCTTCTACCTAAAATTGGCATTGTCACGGGAGCAGCTGCTTTTAAGTAAAGCAGACATTCATCATATATAAGTATTAATCTTACCTACATAGAGACCCAAAACAAAAATACCTGGTAATAAAAGCTAAACACAGGTAACAGAAGCATTTCAACTTTATAAAAGGTTATAGATTCTTTTTCAAGTAGCATTTTCTTAAATAATTATGAAATTACTATCCTAACATGTTGAAACATACAATATTATATTATGATTTAACAGAAGAATACCCATTTTTTCTTAGAAGAATTTCAACCACACTCTGTGTTTAAAACGTAGTTCTGATATAAGTGAATTTACTTAATATAACCAGAACTAAAATATTTCTGTAAGAAGCCCTCAAATTCATAGGTAATGGATTATTTAGAAGGAAAAATTCACAAGAATGCAGATTAAAAACAAAACTGGTGGCTGTCTCACTGGACCTGAACTGCAGACCTTCTGCTCTGGACAGCACTGAGAATTTGTCAAGAAAAGGCTAAGATCTCTGAGCACTCTGGCTGCCAAGTGCTCTCAAATTAAATCAGTTTGAAGCGGTTTTCATTAAGATGGATTGAGTGTGGCATCGTGAGAAACACTCTATCAAATGTAGTGTTTTACTTAGTGATTAAGTATATACCAGTTGATGAAGCTACCCAAATCCTTCGTAATCCCACCACTCCAATAAACATTTAATGAGTATATAAGTTCAAAAAGCCTAGCAGAGGATTTAAACCTTCAATCTTGTTTTTATTTACTCTTGGAACTCAATTTCTCACTTCAAGTGAAGAATGCTGGTGCCTAAAGCTCATCTGTTGCCCTAGTAAAATTAAGTGCCCGCCACAGTAGAAATCAGAAAACAAGACATATGGGTTGCAGTTTCTCCTGAACTTTTCCTTAACTACGATACATTTACAAGTATTTTATAAAATACAATTATAAAGGCATAAAGTATCACTTTTCTCAACTATGAATTCCAGGAGGCAGTATGAAAAATGTTTGAGCAAGAAAAAATAGAGTAAAAACAAATGGTGCTTATACTTCTTTTTTTTAAAAAAAAAAAAAAAAGCATAAGATGCTCCATAAAATAATGTCATTTGGTGTCCGAGTTCAGGGGACAAGGGACAGATCCAAAACTTAAGCCAGTATTTGCAAAAGATATTTAAAGAAAAAAGACCTAAAAATAATTCTTTCCTAAATCCATTACGTTATCCTGCAGAAGATCTGAGACTATTGCAAAACCACAGAAGTGTAAGTAGACAGGAATTTCAGATATATAACTAGCATAGGAACTATTCTGACAAGTAAAAAACTAAATAGTTGCATTGCATTAAAAATGGATTTGTAAGGCATAAAATAATACTCATGAAAGCTCATAATAGGCTCTTTTCTGTTACTATACTGGTGAATTATTAACTATTTCTGATGAAATAACACAAAGTGAACTTCCTAACTCAAGAATTTTTCATGTTCATTATCTGATTTCTCTTAATTTACTAGACTAATTTAGACTAATTTACTTTATTAGTCTAATGAATTATCATGAATTAATAGTTTTCCACTGAATTATTCTATAGCGATTTATACTCCGAAATCCACATAAAGTTATGAAAAGATCCACCATACTGAATGTGAGAAAATTATTTGTGTTCACAATAGATCCAGTAAGTGTTAAGATATTTAGTGCAGATTCATATTTTACTTATCTACATAGTCTTCTCATGATCATACTTATCATAGCATTCCGTTCCTCCCAATACCTGTAACTATGGGAAGCCAAAACATTCTTCATTTAAAAATCAAATATCTATCAAGGCAACAAAAGTAAATTTAAACAGCATAATTTTCTTGTTTGTGTTTCAGCTTTATCTATGCTTAATTATGCAGGGGTTTCGGTTTCTCTTTAGTGAATTCAAGTCACCAAAACTTAAATAAACTATTCCCATTCTAATTTTATTAAAATACTGATTTGACAACTGTGCATGGAATAACAGAAATTTGAGATGTCTGGCTAGAAGGACAGAAGACCTAAATAATAAAACTTTAATACTGGAATGTACTTGGCAAATAAAGGCTGTATAAAGAAATAAGTAGTAATATATTTCAGAGACATTTGAATTTAAAATTAAAATTAAAATTTCCTTAGTCATCTCTCATGGCAGTTACCAACAGGAAATTTTGAACTTGTCAACCACAAGACTCCCAGACAGTGTTATCTGGCATTATGACAGCATTACTTCAGGAAGAAAAGAAAAATAAGAGGGAAAAAAAAAAAAGTAGTTTCAATGATTCAAGGACTCCAATAAAAATAAATCCTGACTAGCTAAGAAAACATGAGATGCTCACCATCATTTCAATGATATTCAGGGTAAATATTTTGGCCATTCAATTAAGAGAGTGTAACTGTTTACTATAATAGAAAGAGCACTCCAAAATCTAGTTTACCTTTGTAAAATAAAATGCAGCATTTATAGTAGTTTCCATTTTCCTCTAAGTCAAATAAAGTAATCTTAATACACACTTACATCTCTAGCCTTCCCATAGAAGGCTTCTTGAAAAGCAGCCTCTAATGATCCAATGAAATAAACAGGATGACAGTCCCCGTATCTGTTTGAGATAAAATTTGCAGTTAATAAAAAAGTATGAAAATAAATAATTTCAACATTCTAGATCCTCACATACTCTTTTTATTAAAAAAAGCCCATCATATTTGATGCACTGGGCTAAAACCTTAGAAATCTGAAGTACTACACTTCTAAATATTTCCCCTCTGCTCTTTAACAGCTATATGTCTCCTGACATTCAAAAGCTCCAACTATTAGCTGCCTTATGCATTTTGTCACAGAGAAATTGTTTACATAAACAGACATTTGAATTTCTATACACTTTTTCCATAATAAATTATTGCTTATCTTTATTATAGTTTTAAAGGTTAACCAGAGGCTATTATATTATATATCACTGGATCTCGCACACCCCTACATGAATAAAAATTCCATCACACCGGACTGAAAACAAAAGACAAACTTTGCATTAGTTTGTAGCATACAGAGTTTCTGGCTACTGAGCAGTTTCTACCTATCTGACCATTGTTCAACAATGCATGATTTGGAGTTATAAAGGTATGAAAAGCAGCAGTTCTGTATTTTTAATAAAATATTCATTTATGACTGTCCAAGTACTTCATCATTGATAAAAAATCTTATTACAAATCAGGATATATTTTTTCATATTTATCAACTTCAACTTTTCTGCTCCTGTATACCAAATTAAAATGGCTATATACAATCCAAATGCTTCTGGACATAACTAATTAATGGAAAATTAACTTAGGCAAGAAGCTGCCACTTTAACTACGAAAATAGAAAATAGTCTATTCCTAAATTGTCTCAACCAAGTTAGCTTAGAAAGATTAGATTTCTATGCCTAAATTTGTATGCCTACATACGGAAATATGTACATATATTTTATTCTTACTCTTACAGTCAATAGGCTAAGCTTACCTTGAAGAAAATTCTGCTGTAAATTGTAATAAGGCATCTCCTTCATTTTCAGCATTTTCTGGCACTTAAAGAAAAAAAAAAGAAAAGAAAAAGAAAAAGAAGAGAAAAATGCCACCTTAAGGGGAGGTATTTTAACATGCTATATAAATTTTATGAAAGACTATAGTCAGAAATCTTCGAAGGAACAATGAATTTCCAGACACACCCATGAATATATCCTGGCTTTCCCAGGATAAATGCCCAGCTACAGTAAAATGTGATAAATCACTTGTTCAAAGTTGACACCCAGTACTTCCTTTAACACATTAAAGGGAAAGGATTGGCTTGGAAGGTTTGCTAGTTACATTCCTTTTTAAATTGCCCATAAATAGCATTAAAGACATTATACCATACGCTATGCCTGAAACAAACAAATAGCATATAGAATAGATTATGATGAGCTAACTGATGGCTATTCTCTTTTTATAATTTCGGACAACATAATTATTGAAAGAAATTATTTTATGCTATTTGTAAATAGTTAAAAATTTTAATCATCACAAGTTGCTAAAACTAAGGCCTTGGAGAAGTTTCAAAACTGGGATGAAGAAATAGAGGCAGCAAGTACCTACAGCTACATTCGGTCATAGATCATCACTTCTCAGAATCAAATCATCATTCAGCAACTGCACACTAAAAACATGAGATTGTGAAGAAATTTTGTCCATGGGAAGATGACTTGGTTGTTATCAATCACACGAGTATACAAATGTATTAAAGTACACATTTTCTTCTGAAATACCCATAAGTCATGTTCCCTTTTGAAAGGTCATTATTTGTTTCTTAGTATGCAGAGCCATCTTACAGAGTAAACTGATTTTCAACTCTTACTCATTGGCGATTTCCTCAAGGCAGATGATGCTACTCCAAACATTTCTCCATCATCAACTCCAAACTCTGTAGCATCTTCAAAGTCATCTCCATCACTGTCACTGACCATATGAACATCAGTGCATTGCTATTAATAAAAAAGAAAAAATTAAAGGCCATCTTTCGTGAAATGCAAACATACAGAAAAATATTTACCCATTTCAACAAACACATTTGATATACTGCATTTAAGTTGACTATTTTATACTGTAAGCAGGACTTCTAACTTTTAGCAGAAGTCTAGTTGATGGAGCAATACTATGCGACAAATTAGACTGTTAAATAACGAGCTAGTTCTATATATATACACACATAGTATCACAGAGTTGAACTATTTTTTTCCCCCCTCCAGAGAAAACTACAGATAGTTACTGCTACCTAAGAAAGAGTGAAAAAAGACACACAATAGTTTTGCTAACCAGAAGCAACGTACTTCAGCAGTCCTTGCATAGTAGGGGACAGGTACCAAACCTATTGACTCACATACAAATTTAGGACTCAGGGTATGTTTCAAAAATTTTTCAAAGCTTATAATTTACTTATTTTCATTCATAACTCATTTGGCTTGCTTTGTTACAACTACATATTACAAAAGTTAAAAGATTAATCTTTTTATATATATTTTTACAGACATACCTGACAATAGAAGGGAGAGTAACGAGTGCAAAATACAACTATCTCAGTTTCTTCCTAGAATATATGCGTTAAATAAAAATGTTCCTACCTCCTCTGACTGTTCCCTTGTCTGTACAGGTGAAGATCTTCTTCCAACTGTAAGTCGATGGCAAGGAAAAGACACTCCGGAAACAGCTAGAGTCATCTACAAAATAAAAAAGTAGTGATTATTTATTAATGCCAGGCTCTCACTTACGTTTTTTCTTTTTTTCTTTTTTAATTTGATATTCAAATTAAAGACTGTACTGCAGAAGTCTGAATTAATTACACAGACATAAAGAAGAAAGCTTGGAAAATTCAAATGATTCCTCACAAAAATAGTCAAAAATCCAGCAACCATTCCTGTACATTCACTACTCATGTACTGCAGTGTTTTCTGTTAGGTGTGGAGTACAAAGACTTAACTTCGCTTTGAATTGATGCTGCAATATCTAATTTTAGCATCTGATATTTTCTATTACTGATCTTACACTAACTATATACAGCCTTGAGAGAAGGCTGTTTGCCCAGCAGATGAAATAGGGACTGTAGATGCTTGCAGGAAAAAAAAAAAAAAAAAAAGGTAGCAACAGCTGTTTGTGCATTTTTCAGCAAAGGAGGTTTATAGGTACCCAAAGCACCTTAGAAACAAATGGAACTGCAAGCCTAAAACTGGCCTGAGCTGTTATTTTCTCTTAAATTGGGACTGGACTTTGAAGCACTATTTGTAGATTTGCTGAATTTAAACTAGAATAAGAGAAATATGTTGTGTAGTTAAATGAAAACAAAAAGGATTTATTGATTTGTCTGAGGGTTTTAAGAGTTCAAGTAAACTTTTCAAAAATTTTAAGATACCTTATTAATGATCTTACTAACACTATTACCATATTAATTTGATTTGTTTTCATGCTGAGACTATTTTTCTCCCCATATTAAAAAAAAAATGAAGTGAGCTATACAGTAGGAGACCTTGATGAAGTACAGGCAATTCAGTTTTCCTTCCTAATTAATTCACAAACGTTAAAGCTAAGATGACAGGTACTGATGCAACTAATATAAAACAATTAAGTTACCTTGCAAAAACATTTTAATCATCTTGAAAAAGAGTTTAGTGTCAGAAATAGTAAAACTCAAAACTTCTACTCAGAAAGTACATTTAATTTCCACCTTGGTCATTACCAAAGGCACTTCCAGCATTTTCCATGTGAACTGCAACACACACAAGCCCAACAAGACTATGGTGAAATTAGGGTCAGTAGAGAAATGATACTCATGTCAATAGAAAGAGCACTGCTCTCCTACTTTTTCCTACAATCTACACTTGTTAAATGTGGGAAAGAAGAAATGAAGGCAGTAATGGGGAAAAAAAAGCACCATCTGAAGGGCAAGATGATCAGACTCCTTTTTGGAGAGGCTATTGCACATTCTGTTCAAAAACGTGTTCATGGTTATGACTAAAGACAAGAATTCAAACACACTATGTTATTATCAGAAAAATCCTACTGAAGACAGTGAGACCATTGGGATCCATGAAGTAGAGATGGAGCTTCAGTAAGCTAAACTGTATAATACTCACTAAATTATATTATATAGTACTCACTAAATTGGGAAATTTGCCAAGATTCTTGCCTTTGAAGGCAGCCATAAAGCTACTAACTTTCCTTGTAAGAGTCCATCACTTAGCTAATAGCCAAGAAAATACCCACGTTTATGAGATAACAAGTAACATTTAAGGCAAAATAAAATTGCAGCCCCGTTATCTTCCGTGCTCAACAAAGGAACATTCAAAACCCCTCTGAAAAGTTGTTCAAAATCTTCTGTGCTATTCTTTGCCATTTTGAGCACCCTTTCACATATTTCTTTATAGAGCTGCAGGGTACACATGGGCTACTTCCCTCTTTGGGAAAGTGCATCCAACATGGCAAAGGGAATCTGATGATCCTAAAACATAATTTTCTGCAGCCCCTAAGTCCTATTTTGATAAGACATGGGGTCAAATCTACAATATGAAGAGATCTTAAATTAAAACAGTTGGTTCATTTTGGTACCAAATCCAGCTTTTGCAGAAACTGAAAATTCTGAAAAAATATTTGATTCTCTACAAATCTTACTGCCTTTTTTGGCTGAACATTCAAAATGGTGCTTCTAGTAAATGCTTCGTTTGGAAACATCTAAAGGACAAAAAACATTTTCTAAATCCTATAGAAATCATGACTATCTTTTCTTGGGCACAAAATGAGACACTTTAATTACGAGGATGCTGTATTTGTGGAACATATAATTTGACTGCAAAAACGGTTAAGCCAAATCAAATTTAAATCATCCTTAATCAAAACCCAAGAATAAATCATAAGCCTGACATTTCATTTACTGCCACGAGCACTGGAAATACCCTGCTTCTTTTTATGCATAATTCGGAATGACTTTACTCCTTGCCTGCTAGATCTCCCAAAGATTTAATTTGCTGCGGGTCGAAGCGAGCTAATTAAGCAGCTAGTTACCAAATGAACATTAACAACGTTAACCTGTCTGAACTAGCCTACTGTCACATTCTCCTGGTAAGGTTAAACAGAAGTTTAGCTGCATGAAAAACATCGCTATTATCTTAAGGGAAGTGAGTAATAATATTCTGGCACAAGTGAAGTATTAGAGATGACACACAGGTCAAGCGTGACTACCTAATGACACTCATGAAAAGAGCGTATACTGTATTATTTGTAATGATCCACCCGTCTAATTAATACTCTTATTGCCTTTTAAAAATAAAGAAAATTGGCTATTATAAAACTGGAAACTTTGCCCAGGTTACACACACTTCATAAAAGAGATGGTGGGACTTGATGATCTTGAAGATCTTTTCCAACCATATGATTCTATGAGTGACCCAGTAGTGGGGTGCTGCAATCTGAACATGCAGCCCCAGATTACAGTGGCTGAAGGTCCCTCAAAAATGAGCCTAGAGCAGCAAGGGTTCAACGCCAGAAGCCATTCCATGTTGCTCCTGGGCAGCTGCTGCTACGTTTTCTTTGCAAACATCTGTGTGACAAATCACACTCTGCTTCAGCTTCTTTGAGAAGCTTTTGCTAAGGAAAGGTTAGCTCAAAGAGGCAAGAGGTGTTTCACTTTGGAAGTGATCTACAGGCACAGAGGTGGCTCTAGAACTAAGTCATTTTAGTTTAGCAGTAAAGCAGATGGTCTTTTTCTCTCTTGAGAAAAACTCTTGAGACAGAAAGTTCAACCTTTACTTTGGAAATTATAAAAAGCACATCAATACTAAGCAAAAAGATCACTTCTGAAGCAGTTCAGGCACGTGCTATTCTATTTTTCTATAATCTAAAGAATTAAGGACACTCAGATTCACGAATCCTAAATCTTTTGGGCTGCCATTTCTAATTTCCGTCTGTTATAAATCCACACAAGGAGCCCAGGACGACATCCTTCACGACGTGGCCTCCACGCAATTCAGCACCCTTCCCATCTGTCTTTCCATAAGGCAGGATCTTTGGAGCAATCAATTCAAAATTATACCTCACGTAAAGGGTATTGATATCAACTTTGCTGTAAACTGGAAACGTCTGTTTTCCCCTTGTTAGCCAACACAAAAACCAAAGTCAGACAGTATCTGTTCAGGAAATATCCTCAAATCCCCAAACATCACTTTTGCTCTGAAAACCCTGGCTGTATGTGAATAATATCTAGAATACTATTAAAAGTGGTTAAGCCATTACAAGTATATCTAAATAAATATATCTAAATAATTAAGATTAGAAGTTCGTGCTAAGTTTGAATAAGCAAGGTCTTCGAAACTGAGCTGTTGTAACAAGTGGAATTTATCACATCTATAAATTTCTAACTGCCCCAGTAATAAATATTATTCCAGCACATACCAGCTCTGAAAACTAAAACACATCTACGAACACCATTTAGTGCTTTGACCACAACTAGCTTGTCAATATTACTCAGTTGTGTTTCTGTGTTACAGGAAAAAAAAATGGTAAGCAATATGGAAAGAGTATCCCAAAATAATATTTATAAATCAGGAGGTCATCAGCTGAACAAGAACTCTTTTTAGAAGTCCCGTATCAGGAGCACGGGGCTTTAATAATAAGCATACATCACATGAGAAGCTCCTCATCAGAAATGAAAGCACCGTTGCCTACAGACTGAAACCGAATCCCGACTCAAACGCTCCCTGTGGCCAACAACACGGACTACTTAGTCTGTTAATATACTGGGTTATTCACCTACGTGCAGCTAATGTATAAGAAACAAACATGACTTAGCCCTTTCCATAATACCCCACGGTGAGCTATTCAAAATAATTAGAGGTGCTTGCAGCAAAATATTCAACGCCCGTCAGGAAGCTCCGTTACCAAAATTTCACTTCCGCAATGATCTGCACTCTCTTCTCATTGCAGGAATTACTGTGATTCTGTTTTCTCCTCGCTAGGTAACAGAAGGATTAAGGATAGACGGGTAAGGAAGGTGCTCTGTAAAACATTTCATTAATCATATTAAACTTACTATCCCATGATCTGGCATGTTTTCTTAATAATATAAGCTAACTTCCAGAGTATGACAAATGACAGTGACCGTATAGATGGATGCTTGGATGCCTTTTCTTGAAGCTAGGAAACATGCCTTTTTTTTTTTTTTTTTTAGGAAAGCTAACTACATGAACCAAAAGTATGAGAAAGACCGTTCTTATCCCAGTACTCCACCGTACTCCATATGGACACTGTACTAGCAGATGAGGTGGACACTAACCAACATACAGAGGAAACCAAACTCTTTCATGTATACCAAGATCAGTCAATTAATAAACGAGATTAAACAATTATTTGACTTTCTAGATCTTCTCAGCTGAAGGGCATGGCTCTGCAAAGAAGTTTTTCCTATCTCTGGCTTCAGTTTATTCCCTGTCCTTTCAGTCAGTGTATGTAAAATTTTACTAGGCAAGACACTCTCTTGCTGCTTGGTTTAGACAGATTTCAGTTTAGATGTCTGCAATGTATATTCATCATCACTCATCCCTTCCTCTTGATGGACAGATCTCTAAGGAATTCAAACCAGTTCTTTTCTCCTAGTCTAACAGGGTGTCCTCTCCCTTTCTCCCCTCACTAGATGAGCTAAGTTCCCTGTTCAGAAAGACTACTATTCCAGCTA